GGCCACCTTTGAGTACCACCTGTACTTGAGGAATCTGCCATAAAGTCTGCTCTCAGAAGTCAGCAGCACTTTAATTCTTACAATGTATTTATTTTTCACTGTTCAGCCTTCAATTTCTAGTCTAAGATGACTAAGGCCAGACAAACTACTGCCTGAATGCTGAATACCTGTGATTTTTGCTACATTGGCTGCTGTACCCCTCAGCCCAGCCGGTTACTTCTCTCTGCTAAAGGTCAGGGGTCTGTGGTGGCTTACAGACCTTCCAAGACTGGCACTGACAAACACATGTTCTGGACTCCTCTACAAGAAGAAACTGGTCTTGTAGGACCAACACCCTTAGTAGGGTAGATGGCAGCGTGGTAATAATTGTTGGAATGTGGGAGTCTCTTGATGGAGAAAAGGGACACACACAGGCACATCCCACCAAGAGCCCACAGTCATTTCTACCCACTAGCATATTGTATTCCAAAGTTTTATCTCAACGTTCTCCAGATAACAGTGCAGGCAGCTGGTTCATGGAGAGCAAAGACTAAGCTGTAGCTGCAAGCAAACACGCAATGCTGGGGCTGTGCAGCTGCAAGGGCTTTGCAGTCCTGCCACTGAATATGGCTGCTGGTCACTCCCAGCTGGAGCTCACAGGCTCTGATGGTGACAGTGAGAGAAGCTGATCTGCTTAGGAATGTTTTTTTTCCTTGCCTTTATGCCACTTTCACACAGCCATAAGTGTTTTTTGTACCTATTTTGTACTCACTTACTAAATAAGTTTTGTTATTTTTGATCCTACTGAAATACACACATGACAATATTATTTCTTTACTCTGACTGGTTGTCCGTGCACCCCTGAGAAATTACAAGGAGCTGAGGAACTGCAATAAGCAAGGCAGGATTCACATGAATGGCCTTCCTACAGCCTGCCCACAGAACCTCTTGGGCACTTTTGCAGGCAACACACAATTCCCTGGGAGCATTCTCAGCTCTAGTCTGATTATTCCATCTTCTTGGAGACCCTATTGATACAAAGCCTATCCAAAACTGAAAGTTTCATTTGTTTTAAAGAGATATAGCTCAGGCCTCAAAGCCATGACATGATCTATGAGGAGAGGGCTGGGAAGGAGCTCAAGCATCTTATCTGCCACTGTGAAGAGCACTACTGAAGTACTGTGATGACTCAAGATGAAAGCATTGCAAAAATATGCACAAATATTGTGGCACTCTTCCTTTAGCCTGTAATTCCTCTCCCAGCCCACTTTGTCATTCTGAAACAAAATATAGCATGTGGAAAACATCTGCCCATTACATTCTTAGCTGCCCATTTTTAAAAATCTTTCCTTTCACAGACAGAAGGTTAATCCAGTCATGACAGGTGTACCAGAGCGCCAAAAACCCCCAAAATCTACCTCTGGTCTTCTTAATATGTCTCTCTGTTGCTGGGCTTCGACATTGCATTTACTGAAGCTCATTAGGTTGTTACCCAATCCAGGATAATTCAAACAGGTCACTAATTTGATTATGAGATTGACTGGCAACATTCAAACCTCTGAGAACTCTCCCCCAGGATGCAGGACTATCTGCTTGTACTCTGGCTGACAATCTGCCACTTGCCTTCACATATTTTCCTTACCATCTTTCTAGTTTCACATACTGAAAAAAGCTCTTTCCCCAACCTCACAAAAAGCAACTCATATTTCTATTGTATCCCCTAAAAAGTTATATAAGGAGGGGATGTAAGGATCCCTTAAAATTTTATACAGTCAACATCAAAAGCACAGTACTGCCCTGAGGAAAGACCCTGTGGTGTCTGGGGCAGTAACTCAGCCCCAGATGCACCTCCTTTCTAGCCTTTTCTCCTTTTTAATGTGTTGTTTGATAAAAGCCTCTTGATGATGTGTAAAAAATTTGGACTTCCAGGAATAAAACCACAAACAATAAAGAGAAGCAGTTAGAGTGTCCTGACCTTCCAAAGAGCAGTCATAGTCTGTTGGAACAGGAAGGAATGTAGGAAGTGTACATGCTCAACACAAGAAGAGTCTCCAGGAAAGCACAGCTTTTAAAAGTATTTTTTTAAAACTGTCAAGTCAAAATGAAAGTGCAACGGACTTCCACATGAGGGTGTGGTGTTTGAAGACAAAATACAATGTGTCAGAGCAATTTAGATCACTTCACTGAGGCGTGTCTCAGTTGCAGTACCTGCTACTCGTCTGACAACAAAAGGTTAGTTTTGTTTTAATCCTTACTGTTCTGCATATTTGATGATATCTTCTTTGCATACATTTACTCTTAGTTAAGTATAATTTCACAAAGGCATGTCTCCTTTCCAGAATCAAAATTAGATTTGCTCAGGAGCAGGACAGAATACTGCTTAATTTATCAGAGGAAAAAAACTGTCTGTTCAAACTAGGGATATTGATTTAATTCACCATCACTCATACAATCCCACATCAAGTTTAAACACACAGAAACACTGAATTTCTATCTGACTGGAAGGCTGAAATAATTCTGCAAGAAAACATGCAGTTGCAGATTTAATATATTTATTAGCATACCTTCTAGAAAACACTGTTTGAAAAACCAGCAGCTTCTGAGCTATTTGTGTACTTGTGGGCACTTTGTACATGATAAAATTCCTTTCTATCATAACATTCTGAGAAGCTCCAGCTGGAAGATGCAGCGTACCCACAGCAATCTGCTTCTGTAAGAAATCCCACATGGGCATGGCTCACTGTGTGGGATGGAGACTAAACAAAGTTTTTCCACCACTCTTCAGTGCCCAACTCTCATGGGATTGCTTGGCTGTTTGCAATGGGCATATGCACGTATGCCTGAGAAACAGCCCTACCAGGAAAAACAAATGCGAACAGGTATGGGAGCCAAAACATTTCAGATAATTTTGTTTCTGTTGTAAACTCAGGGCAGACAAAAGCTTATCAGGCAGCGGAGCACAGTCACAGCCAAACTGCTTTGTCATACACAGACTTTTAAAGTTTTCCCTGAATTGTTTACTGGTTTGCTTTCAAGTAAATTTGCCAGTGATCCAATTTGATTAAATGTTCTGTATTAAGTCTTTTAAGACCACAACGAAATCTTTTCATTTAACTTCTATTTTTCCTCAAATCTCAGCTAAATGGATTAAACTCTTCATGCTGCAGTTTTCCTTCTACTAAAAAAAAAAAAAAAAAAAAAAAATTATTTTGCTGTTGATTATTAAATCTCTCCTCAAAGTACTATAAAGCTGCAAAAGATTACTGCTGCTGGAGAATCCTGCTAAAACAGCTTTTTAGGCATAGAACAGACAACCCTTTGCCAAAGCATGAAGTAGAGCGACTGTACTTTTCCATTCTGCACATCTCATTAAGGCAACAATATAAAGAACAAATTGCAAGACTTAAAAAGGAGTAATCATTTTTTAAAGTTTGATGGGGAGTGTTTTGAAATGTTAACAGAATAATACAACAAAGTCATTAAAGATGGAGCCAAACCAGATAGTTAATTTCAAACTAATACACTTTCGAAAAAAACTTGGCTAGAAAAATCACGGAAGAAATGAACAAAAATTAAAATTATTATTTTCTCTCTATTTAATTATTCTGCATTCCTTATTATGAGATCAATCATCAACTTACTTTTTCCTAAAAAAACTTTAAGAGACATTTGGCAGCCCTTCATTTAAACAATTGTCTTAGAAACAGAAATGGTAGTTGCATTTTTCTTTCAGGCTTGAAACAACCAAATCGTAGCTCTGGAGCAGAATATCAGATAATGATCTGCTTTCAGCAATATTGACCTCAAATTCTGAACACTGCATATGATGACAAAATGGGGATATATTTTTCATTCTCACCTGATTTTTGCTACTGCTTCTAAGAAACCTTAATCCCATTTATTACAAGGGAACAGAGTACTGCAGAACTGTATTTTACAACAGACAGAATTTCAGCACGTTAGTCACTGAACACAGTTGCAGGAAAAGAAAAAAATAATGCAGGACATGAACTTGCTTCAGATGCAATCTGAAGATACAAATACTTAAATCTTCAACCTTAAACTGGCAGTGGGAAGCCAGCCTCAGTGTTTACAGAGTAAATCTATCATGAGATTGTATTTGAAAAACCAGCAGAGTTTGGAGCTGTTTGGGTACTTGTGGGCACTTTGTATGTGATAAATTTCCTTTCTGTTTTAACATCCTGAGAAGCTCCAGCTGGAAGATGCAGTGTACCCACAGCAATCTGCTTCTGTAAGAAATTCCACCTGGGCACGGCTTGCTGTGTGGGATGGAGACTAAATTAAGCTTGTTCTGCTGCTGTTCAGCAACTAACCCCCTGCTGTGCTTTTTGTAATGGGCTTATACAGTATACTTGAGAAACAAACAAAAACACTTTCCTTGAACTATATTCATATCCAAAATTTGTCAAGATTTATGACAGGAGGCAGCTGCTTGTCTCAGCTGTAATCTGTTCATATTCCTCTTACACCTGATTGTAACAGCATTTACAGCATTCAGCTGGTATTCCTTTGCTTTGCAGAGGCTGGAGAGGGGAAGGTGCAATTCCAACCCCATAAAGGTAGAGACAGAGTTATGTGCAATGGAATATTGTCAAACATAATACAGTCAGAGCAGTTAAAGCAATGATGGCTCCTCGACTCAAATACGGAAATCAGTGAGGGGCACTCCAAGCATTTTACAATCTGAAATGCTAAGGGTAAGGAAAGTATTTCAATTTAATCCATTTTACAGGTATTGCCAACACTGATGTCCTCAGTTACCCAATTCATGTGAGAACTTGAGATGGTCTGCTCTGCTTCTGTTACTGTCTAGCTTCCCTTTGATTATTCACAAATGTATTCTGAATATCTAAGTTCCTTAAATTTGAGATGTATAACCAGCCCTGAAGAAGGGTTTTAGGTTTCAAAAGAAATTTTAGAAATTTTAAACCTGGTATTACTTCTTTAATGTTCCCTTCTCCCCACATTTTTGTGTCTTGTAGCTTTGCACTGTCTGAGATATGAATAACTCAACAGATTACTGGATTGAAGATGAGGAGGATGATCTCAACCCTTTTATAGATTACAATAGCTATGAGCTTCTCTGTGAAAAAGGCGATGTAAGAAATTTCAGGAAATTATTCCTCCCAGTGTTCTATGCACTCGCTTTCACGGTTGGAGTGGCTGGAAACTCATTAGTGGTTGCAATTTACGCCTACTGCAAGAAACCCAAGACCAAGACAGACGTGTACATCATGCACCTTGCCATCGCTGACCTGCTCCTGCTCTTCACCCTCCCTTTTTGGGCTGCAAATGCAGTGCAGGGATGGGAACTTGGAAACATGATGTGCAAGCTCACTTCTTCTCTGTACACCATGAATTTCAGCTCCAGCATGCTGTTCCTGGCCTGTATCAGCGTGGATAGGTACAGGGCCACTTCTGACTCCCAGGGCCACAGAAGAGTTGGCAAACACTGCAGTATCACCTGCATCTGTGTCTGGCTGGCTGCCACCTTCCTCAGTATCCCAGAGCTGATATTTAATCAAGTCAAGAAACACAATGAGAGGAACGAATGCCTTCCCGTATTTCCGATGAACATGGAAACACTCTTAAAATCAACCATTCAAATCCTGGAAATTATCCTGGAATTTCTGCTTCCTTTCCTAGTAATGCTGATCTGCTATTCTGCTACTGCTCGGGCAATCTTTAGGTCTGCAAATGTTAAGAAGTCCAGGCCTTTCAAGGTTCTGCTGGCAGTAGTGGCTACTTTCATTGTCACCCAGCTACCCTACAACATCGTGAAGCTGTGGCGAGCCATAGACATCATCTACATGTTGGTTACAGACTGCCACACCAGTAAAACCATAGATGTGGCACTCCAGGTCACCAAGAGCATTGCTTTGTCCCATGCCTGCCTCAACCCTCTCCTCTACGCCTTCCTGGGCGCCTCTTTCAAAATGCACATCATGAAAATCGCAAAAAATTATGGGTACTGGAGGAGACAACAGCAGAATGGAAGACCTGAAGAAATTTCTATGAATTATGAAGACCCTACTGAAGAAACAATCAGTTTCACTATATAGGCCCTCTATTGCTTCCATCATCTTATATAACCAAGGAAACTGTTAAATAATTCCAGGGGGTATTGCTTCTACAGCTGTTTCTCTGCAAGTCAGCTTTCAGATGAATTTCTGAACCTGCTTGAACCTGCCAATACACCACAAAGCACTTCAAAATGGAATGTGTTTATCAGAATCAAAGAAGAACTGAATACTGAAACCCCTAGAAACAACCTGAGATATTTGCTAAAAAACAATATCAACAAACTCAAACAAAAAAACCCACCACAACAAAACCCAAATTTCAAAGTGTCACAGTACTAGGCAATTAAGTAACTGTGTAATGAACAACCTGTACACATGTGATTAAAACAGAGGAAAAAACCCATCACCAAACAACAGGAACCTTTGTACCAGAGGTTAATAGTCTTGTATTTCTCCAACTATTTTGTAAAACTTTAGAACTTTTGCCTAACAGTTCAGCTCCATTTCTCAACTCAACTATCATTCCATAGATATCCTTGCAGATTGAAATTTAGTACAAGCTTATGGCTGAGAATTGAGAGGGAGAAAGAGGAGGGAAAAGCCTTGTGTTTCTACAAATGTATAGCAACAACAACTTCCTCCACAAAAACACCCCAGCAACTCCTTTTCTATAACTACAGAAAAAATTACTTTTCATCTCTTCTCTTCTGCTCACTCTAAACTTCAACAAGACCAGTGCTCCAAGGGTGGCTGGCTTATTCTAGATTTTTATAAATGTAATAAATAGTTCAGGTTATCTTCAGATACAAGGCCTGTATTTTTTATTTAGAATTGTTAAAATTAATCAAGCACTGCAATAACTGTATCTGCTAAAATAGATGAAAATACAATAAAATCAAATAATAGAAAAAGTGCACTGGCTTTTCTTTTTTCTTTGTTTTTGTTTTGTTTTAGTAGGTACTGACATCTCTTACCATAGGCATTTACCAACCAGCAAATGGGAGAGGCCTTGCTTGACAAAAGAGAGAGGTTTCATTCCATATGGAGCTTATGGATTTACAGATCTTACACAGAGAGGTACCAAGGCCATCCCCTGCCACAGTGTTGGCAAGGATTCCAGGAAAACAGCAGTTTTCCATGAGTCACTAGAAGCATTTCAAACATACTGACATGCTAGATTAACTTTCAAAATGAAGAAGTGGTGTTACAGAATACTGCCCTTGTCTTCAAACATCCTGTGGGCTCTGACAAAATGTCTCATCTACAGATTAGGAAAGCCAACAAGAATCTCTCATTGCTAGATACCATTCCTAATTACACAATTATGGACTGGAACAAAAAGCTCTAAAATGAAAGACAAGAAACAGCAGTAGCATAAACAAGACATGAGCCTCTTCTCCCTGTTTGGAAGACAAAAGCATACAGAATGTCTGCCCAGCATGTTTTAAGAAATACTAGGGCATGACCGATTTTCTACACGTACACCATAAATCTGACCTATTTAAGTCATACTAGATTTACTGTACACATGCAGAGCATAATAAGAAATCCCACTTTTTTCATGAAGTAACTAACTCCTTACATGTGTGATTTATGACTTGTCTTCACAAATACAGAGTGACATTCTGACCAGTCTGCCAGGCTTCTGGAATTCCCACACATTCAAGGTTTTAATGTCCCAACTTTTGTCCCAAAAGTTAAAAAACCCCAACCAAAACCAAGACCAACAACAAAAAAATAAACCTTCCCAGCCAGTCAGAAAAAGAGACTAATACAGAGCCAAATGAACACGCTTCTCAAACTTCTTGGAATTGCAGTGCTTTTTATGCATCTGTCTTTATGCAAATCTGATTGCCCTAATTGTATTTCTTAGAAATAAATCATGCTGTCTTATGTTTACTCTCCTTTTTATAATTCACATAACTAACTTAATGAATATTATTCTCTGTGTGTGACCCCCCTAAAACTTTCTCATTACTCCTTCAGGGACTGCAATGCATGGCTGGAAGACACTGACCCAGAGCAAAGGCTAAAAAGCCAGCAGTTAAGCAACACTCTTGGGTCAGGAGACAAGATTCCATGCTTCTTTTTGCTGCCAGTTTTACAGGAATAGAACAGAGAGAGAGATCTATCTTCTGGTGACTCCAAGTATTGCACAAGCATGTATCAGCAGCTAGCTGTGACAATCCTGTACATAAATGAAACATTCAAGTTTAACAACTCTGTTTATTTACTTGGATTCCAAGTTGCTGTCACATGTTTTGCCAAAAAAGTAACAATACCACAATATCAGGGACAGTTGCCACTTACAGTACAATCCATTGATTTTACTGGGAATTATAACATAAGAAAATCTCCTTTAATAGTCAGTCCAACAGCATCACAGGCTACTTTAAAAGCAACCACGTTTTACTGTAGCTACACGGTACTCTCAAACTTCTCACACAAACTGCCAAAGACAGCTTCATGAAAACAAAGTCATAATGTGTAATTTCACTGATAGAAAGAGGTAATGTTTTAAGAAAAGAGCAGCATTCACTCTGTGAAGAAAATTCAGAAGTTATAAAAAGGGGCCAAATCCCCAACTTGATTTGAATCTTTAAATCCCTGGTTCATAAAAAAAAGCTTAATTCAGCTCCTGCTGTTGTTTTACATTCTATTGCCTTTACTCAAGAAAAGACAAATTTTCATCTCAGAAATGGAGCACAAATAGTTCTTGGAAAAAATTCTAGCCTTAACCATTCTTATTTAGGTTTCCACACTTACCACTGCTCCACCACTTCTTGCCATTGATCACGTAGCTGTCCCCATCTCGCTCAATGGTGCATTGCATATTGGTGGCATCACTGGAAGCCACATCGGGTTCTGTGTTAAAAGGAAAAAACAAACCACTAGATTAAATATAAAGCTAATACAACGTCCACAAATATAGGGCTCTAGATATACTCTATTAAAAGTACACTGCTTTGCTACCAGTAGAAAGACACTTTGAAGACCCTTGCTGGCTGTTGTTTTCCAACAATCTGTTATTTATAGCCAGTTTAAATATATTTCTTCTTTGGCTTGGACCACCCTTTGCAATCATCATTCTTCCTTTCCTTCTCTTTTAAAATCATTTATCCTTCCATTGTACTTACAGGTAACAGTTAGTTATATACCTCCTCAGCCTGTTTTCTCCTCCTGAGTTCTTCCCAAGCAAAAATAGAAACTGAAAATAATTTTGTGGAAGGTTAAGCTCTAATGTAAAGCTGTTTGGTACTAAAAACTAAAATTTTATTTATTTATTTGTATAGTAAATAAGTAAATTGTATTTACTTATTTATTTGTATAGTACAAAAATTAAACTAAAAATATATAGAAAGCAAATACTAATTATTGTAACCATGAAAATTGGCAACTACCAGGAAAAGCAGCAAGGCTGCTCCAGTTTGCATTCACACCTCAGAGATGATTTTATATTCAAGCACTTTCACTGATACTGAATTAGCACAGAAATGTCCACTGTAACACACAACTTGCAGTTTTCTACTTTTCCCTGCATACACCACATGAAGTTTCAACCAATTGGCTCTAACTTTCTTCTGGAGAAAAACTTACCTGTCATGCAGAAGCAAGAACTAATTTTCCCTTCAAGGAGAGGCTCCAGCCACTCTTTCTTTTGCTCTTCAGTGCCATACATGTGGAGGACCTCCATGTTTCCTGTGTCTGTAAGAAAATCAGCTGTCATGCTTACTGCTCGAGACACACAGCCTGTAAAGTGTAAGAAACCCAACTTTTTAATGCTCCAGTGCCATAGTTTTGGGACTAAACCAGGGTTGCTAACCTGGTGCATGGCAGTTGAAAACCTCAGGAGCAATAAGGCATCTCCCTGTCTCCTCAGCTATTAGGGCATAGTCAAGCTGGCTGAGACCACTGACATCTGGGAGGAAAAGGTTCCACAGACCTTCTGCTTTGGCCAATTCCTATCACAAGAATCAACAGAAAAAACATCAGCAATAAGTAATAAAAAAAAATTAAATTCTGTTTTGCAACACGCTCCTGCCTACCTTACTGTCCAATACATATGATGCTTTTTTCAATAGCTATTCTGAAATTGTAGGTTCAGCCTTTGATTTAAAGTTCAGATATACCCCTCTCAGACCTCATTTTGTGTTTCTTCTCTCTCATTTGTTTTCTCACTTTTTCCATACTTCTCTCTTCCTTTCTTTTCACTGCTCCTCACAATTGTTTCTTTCATGTTCCTCACATTGTTTCTTTCACGTAAAGTAACTTCTCCAACAGGATACACCAATCACTCTTATCCTCTGTGTCTGTGCTCTTTTACTGCTAGAGTGCTAGAAATATTTGTTATCCCATACCTTTAGCCTCTCCAGCAGTGGTGGTTTCTTCCATTTGTCCTCAGCATGTCTATGTTCAGTATAATATTTTATTATTTCCTTAGAGAAACAAAAGGTGCTGTTTAAATTAAGAACATATGTAACACATAAATAATAATACATCTCTTCCAGATCTATGACCCAAGGAACCAAGTAAAAAATATTGAACACAAATTTACATTATATAGTTGGCTTCATTATAAAAATAAATATATAATTGACAGTTTAACTGCAAGTTGAAGTTCTATTCATTTTGCAAGACTTTAAATATCAGATGACTCCAATCAGTATATGAACTACTATTTGGGATGGTTTAAAGTATGTGATGCTTGCCTAGGAGATCAGTATTTTCGGGAGATAAAAGTACCTATTGCCAACAGTATACACAAGAGGCACAAACTCAAAAGTAAAACAACAAATAAAAGCCTGATGTACCGACAGTTAAGAATAAGATAACCCAGCTAATCTTTCAGATAACCCAGCTAATCTTTTGTGAACTGTGAGAAAAAAAAAAACCAAACAACAAAAAAAGCATTTTCTCTTCCTATCAAAATAATTCCTTAACAGATAACATAAGCAGTCATTCCAAACACCAGTCCTTAGTTTTAAGTGAACCTTTACATTCAGTAATCTTAGTATTTTCATAAACATGATTTAGTGAGA